TCCTCTAGGGCGAAAATGTCTGCTTCTATGGAGGCCAAGTGCTGCAGGTTTTCTCACCTCTGGAAGTGATGCCCTGGTCAACCATGGACTTGGACCAGAAATGCTTTTATTTGCATATATTAATATGTAAATAAAGACAATGAATATTTAAAATTCTGAAATGTTATATTTATGTCCTTTTCAGAGATAGAAAAGAGAAATCCTACTTGCCAGTTTTCCTCATTATATATGTTTGAATTCTTATTTTAACTTTTAACTTATTTCAGGTAAATTATTAGCAACAGAAGACAGAAACTCTTGCTCTATGCATGATCTGAATTTGCAGATGCAAAGTGAGAGTTGGTCAAATGTTCAGTTATTTTGCATATATGTGTCCCATTATGTTAGTAACCAAAGCAAGACATTGTTAGAAAGTCTTTATTTTCATCTGTCAGTACTCATGTTTCATTGTTACCCCTTGTCCATTGGCTGTACTTATTTGGGAAGAAAGGGAATATATACCTAACCACACAATCCTGGTCTGTCCTCCCCTATTATACAAAAAAAAGGCCATTGCATAGTTGATGAGCATATAAATAACATATAATATATTTGTAAGTGGAATACTACTTGGCAGTAAAAATGAACAAAATGCTGATCCATGCCACAACGTGGGTGAGCCTTGGGGGAGGGTACTCTTTGGTAAGTGACTAAATTTATCTATTTAACTCTGTCTCTCGAAAGCCCATCATTCTTTCCCACATGTCTGATCTTCCCAGAATATTTTGAAGTAGCTTCCTGGTCTTGGGTGATTCTGGGTTGAATCTCTGCTGTTATCTCCACAGCCATTATCAGTTATTCTAGCCTAATCAACTATATCCAATGATATACTCCATGATATACTACTGGGCAGTAGAATCTGATTAATAAAATGTGGTCTGGAAGAAGGGCATCTGTTCCTCCACAGAGCCTGTGCTTCAAAACACCTCATTTGCTTGGTATAAACTCTGGGGGAATTGTACAATTTTATTGTTAGACATCCAGTGAATTTTAAAATGCCACTGGAGTTTGAAGTCCTATATATCAAGAAACAAAACTAATAAAGCTCAAGTGATTCTATGGATTGAGTTCACAGAGCTCTTTTGATCCCTGAAGACTTTTCTTCCTGGACGTTTTATCCCATTTAATTTAGTGTCTCTGAAATATCAATACAAGCTGGCCAATTGCTGAGTCTGTTCTTATATTGCTTACAGATGTCTGAGCTGTTGACAACTTAGCTCATCTTCTGCTCTAAATCTGAGGGGAAGGATAAAAACATCTTTTATGCCTTAGGAAAAAAAAAAACTGTCCTGTTTCCCTGTAAATATTGTGTTCACCCAAGTATAAACATATGCTCTTTGACCTGGTGGAATTATTATCTGACCTGAGGTAGTATCCCTTGCCAGTACTGGATTCAGCCTCCCTTTGTTACCCAGTACTCAAGCAACAAGTAAGTATTGGGCAATGCTGTGCAGAACAGTAAGCCCTACTCATATGCAGATATGTGAGCAGCTCAGGGCACCTGAAAGTTAAAGCCATAAATGCTCTTTGCATTGTCAAGTAAAGATGTTTATGATATATTATTGTTAAGTGAAAAAAAGAGCTTGTAAAACTACACTTAGCTTTCTGGTTCTAGTAACAGAGTGGGATGAGCTTGTGCTACCCTTCCTTGTACTAAAAACACATAAAATGCAAATAAAATATAAAGTTTAATAAAAAAGGGAAATATTTGCAAATCACATATCTGATAAGAGTCTTATACCCAGACTATATGCATATATACTCTGTACACCTTTGTACATATATATAAACTCTTACAATGCAACAATAAAAAAGACAAACCTACTGTGTAAAAGGGCAAATGATTTGAATAGACTTTTCTCCAAAAAGAGAGATACAGGTGACCAATAAGTACATGAAAAGATACTTAACATTATTTATCACTAGGGAAGTGCAAATCAAAACCAGAATTAGATACCACCAGATACCCCCTAGAATAGCTAAAATAAAAAAGGCAGAGAATAGTGTACTGCTGAGGATGGAGAGAAATTGGAACCCTTGTATACTGCCAATGGGAATTTAAAATGTGCAGCCACTTGGAAAATGGTGGGGTTTTTAAAAATTATTTATTTATTTATATTTTACATCATTGTACATTTTTATACAGTTTGCTTTCTTTTCTCAGGTGTAGTCCTCATAGAATTTCCACCACCAATTCACCCATGCACCATCACTATAGTCCCTTGTGCTCTTCCCACCCTTGTTTTGATCCCTCTCCCCTCACCTGCAGAATGTCTCTGATTTATAGTTGCCTATTTATTTTTGTTTTGTTCTGTTGTGTTTTTTATTGTTCTTATTTTTTCCCCTGATCCCTTATTTGGTTCCCTTACATCCTCCTATAAGTGAAACCATCCAATATTTTTCTTTTTCCTTCTGACTTATTTCACTGAGCATAATCCCTTCTAGCTCCATCCATGTTGCTGCGAATAGCTTGAGTTTATCTTTTTTTTGATTGCTGAATAGTATTCTATTGTGTATATGTACCACATCTTCTTGATCCAGTCATCTATTTTTGGGCACTTGGGTTGTTTTCAAGTCTTACCTATTATAAAAGTACTGTAATAAATATAGGGGTGGAGGTATCCTTTTGAATTAATGTTTTTGTGTCCTTTGGGTGGATCCCTAGGAGTGGAATTGCTGGGTCATATGGTAGCTCCATTTTTAGTAGCCTGAGGAGCCTCCACACAGCTTTCCATAGTGGTTGGACTAGTTTGTATTCCCACCAGCAGTGCAGGAGAGTTCCTTTTTCACCACATCCTCACCAACATTTACTATTGCTAGTTTTTTTTAATATGTGCCATTCTCACTGGTATAAGGTGGTATCTCATTGTGGTTCTGATTTGTATTTCCCTGATTATGAGGGATGTTGAACATTTTTTCATATCCCTGTTGGCCATTTGCATTTCTTCTTTGGAGAAGTGTCTTTTAAGTTCTTCTGCCCATTTTTTGACTCTGGTGGTTTCTTAAAAGGTGAGGCATAGCATTATCATATGACTTGGTAATTCCACTCCTGGAATTGAAATACATGTCCACACACAAAAACTGGTTCATAGATGTTTATGGAAGCATTATTCATAATAGCCACAAAAGTAGAAAGAAATATGCATAGTTGGTGAACATATAAATAAAATAATGTATTTTTGTAAGTGGAATATTGTTTGACAGTAAAACTGAGCAAAGCATTAATACATGCTACAATGCTACAACACGGGTGAATCTTGAACATATGGAAAGAAAATAAAATAGATGCAAAAGGCCATAGATGGTATTATTCCATTTATATTAAATGTCCAGAACAGGCAAATTCATAGAAATAGAAAGTAGACTAGTGGTTGGTAGGAACTGAGGGGTGGGAGAGTGAGGAGTGACTGCTGAATTGGTATGGGGTTACTTCTTTGAGGTGATGAAAATGTTTTGGAGTTATTTAGTAATTGTGATTATATAACTTTGTGAATATACTAAAAACACTGAATTATAAAACTTAAATGGTAAATTTTGTGGTATATCGATTATATCTCAATTTTTTTTCAGCTTGGGGAGAAAGTAAGAAAGGGAAATTCTCAGGAGGTGGAAGTGAAGATAGAATTTAAAACCAGAGTAGTCATCTAAGTCAGACAGAATAGAGCAAATTCAAAACCAGTAAAAGGAAGAATATTAAATAAGCAGTATATACAGTCATCATAAAACAAACATAATATATATGTATTTGTGTATATATATATTTGTATGTATATGTATGCCCTCACACACATATACACACAAATATATGCACACAAAAATATATATTTGTATGTTACATGTTACATTGTAACATTTCAGGGAAGGATGGGTCAAGCTGTCCATTTATCTTTGGCAGTAAGTAGCACCATTTAATCCACTACAGGGGTTATTTGAGTGTTTATAGAAACTGGTAGGATAGTATGGGCCTTCCTAACAAGACACAAGACTAAGAAGTCATAAAAGAAAAGACTGACAGATTTAACTACAGAAGAATCAAACACTTCTAAGTGATGAAAGATACCATAAACAAACTCGAAAAGACAAAAACAAAATGGGAGAAAATATTTGCCTCATACATCATAGATATATCTAGGATGAATTGCACAATCTCGAACTGGGTACAAAAAAATAAATTACTTTTGTTAGGTTTGTGAAAGTCTCCATTTTTGCAACAGGAAAAGCAATCCAAACTTGACTTGATTCCTTTCAGTTAGTTTGGCCAGGTAACTCAGTCTGTTTGGGGTATGTCTTGCCTATTGGGGTATTTCCTTTCCTTCTCAAAAAGTGCACAGGGCGGTGTGAGCAATGTCATGTTTTTCATTAATGTGACTGACCTTGTGCTCAGTGACCATGAGTTCTTTGGAAGAAGGCATTGTCTTTTACCCAAATCTGAATCTGCAGTGCGTAGGATTTGCCCATCACCCAGAGAATCTTTACTGAGTCACATTGATTTGAAAGCTTTTAAGATCCCTGGGTGCTGCATTTTCCAGGGATATTAAATAGGGCCAGGGCTGCATTTATTATATTCCCAGCAGGACCCTGTGTGGATTAATGTTTTAACATAAATAAATGATTCCCTGTTCCTTTAAAACAGCATTAAGTTAAAGTTTTTATTTTTTAAGGATGGGCTTAGTTTTATCATAATTTGTGTTTCAATCTTGTGTCTGTAATATAAAAAGGTTTTTTTGTGTTTTCTCATAGAAAATAGTACATACAGATGTGCACAAAATTAATCCAACATTAGGGTTCCTTCTGGAAATTGTATCGGGCAATTGATCTTACTTAGTGTTATTGTCTTACAGGAAGATCCTTCGTGGTTGCTCGGCCTGTGAAAGGGCCAGGACAGGGTGCTGTGGCAGGGGGAGAGACACCAACCTAACATGCTCCTTGTCTTTTCCTCCCCTTTCCCACCCGCCTCCCAGTGAGATGAAGCAGAAGCTGGATGAGGAAGGCAGCAAGTGCAGCATCCTTTCCAAACATGAGAAGTTCGTGGAGCACTGCTGCATGCGCTGCTGCTCGCCCTTCACCTTCCTTGTCAACACCAAGCGCAGGTGTGGGGACTGCAAGTTCAACGTCTGCAAGAGCTGCTGCTCATACCAGAAGCAGGAGAAGGTCTGGGTGTGCTGCGTCTGCCAGCAAACCAGGTGAGTGCCCAGGGTAGTGCAGGGGCCTCTGCTTGGGTCAGCGCCTTCCTTTAATCAGCCAAAAAGGACCTGAGGGCTGGGTCCTCGTCTGGCCTCTTTTTTCCATACACTCAGTCCTGAAGCCTGCATTATATTCTTGGGAATGAGGCTGGGGGCAGGAAACATGGGGGTGAGTTAGGCAGATTACTGGGGGGTGACAGAATGCACAAGTGTTGATCCCAGGATATGGTGATAGCTGCCTATAAATTCACCATCAGCACTGGGGCACAGCAGGGAGTCGCCAGCTCTAGGGTCTGGAGAAAGCTTCATCGAGGACAAGAAATAAGCACAGAATGGTAAAAGCTAAAACAGAAAAAGAGTTAATGGCGTGGAAAGGGGTGATGACCGCCATGAAGGAAATGGCTGGTGTGAGGTTTTCATGCAGGCACGTGTTTACATTCTTCTCCGGCGGCCGGCAGAGCATTTCTTTGATACACTGATTATTTGGAACCGAAGGAGTTCGATAAGCTTGGCATTTTCCCCTTGGAATTCTCAAGTCTTTGCTGGTGATCGCGTCTGTAGCATGTCTGTGTTGCTGCCCCCTGACATGAAGCCCTGCAGTGGGGAGCAAGGCTGAGCGGGCTGCTTCCCGAGAGCACCGGCTGGGGAGTGCATGCTTCCCCCTCTCTTCTTCCTTCTTCTCCTCAAATGTTAGTACCCACGTGATAGTGACTTTCAGATTTCCTCCAGTCTTCTCTATGGATCAGAAAAATCTCCAAATTTACAAAACAGTTAACACCAGTAAATCATGCCATCCAGCCTCTCCCACATCTGAGGTTGAGCTGTGCGAGGGGGTCTATTATCAGTTATTATTCAATGACATGTTGCTTTCAACTGAGCAGCAGTAATGTTAAGTGACCCTCAGGATCACGTCACTTTCCTTTGAGAAGGAAAGGAAATAGCCCGATAGGACTTTTCTCAAAAGCCAGGTGTTCTGATTCCAATCCTGTGCTATTTCATTTATACTAGATTATCTCAAGGAATTGCCATGTGTTGAAAAAATAAATTGTAAAAATGACGGTAAATGGCTCCTTGGGCTGCCTTTTAAATTTCTAGTTCACATTTCTAGCCACTTAATGGGAGGCAGCAGGCCCAGCTAGGTATTCCATTTAATCATACATCATGTCCACACTGTATGGCAGCTCCTGTATCTCAAAAGTAGGACATCAGAAAATAAAGTCCTACTCATAGAAGGATGCCTGGAATGACATCCAAAAAAACAAGTGTACGCTTGTCCCCCCGCCTTTTTTTTTTAAGAAAAGGGAGAATTGCTGATGAATCTTCCACATTTGGTAGAATCTAGTATCTAGTACAGAGAGAACACACCCAACCTTGTTTAATCAAAGCTGGTAGGAAGATGCTGAGGAGGAAGAACTTTGTAGTCTCAATCTTGTATGATTTCCCGTGGGGATGTCTCTAAGAGTCTTAGGATTATTATTGAATGAAGCCAAAAAAAAAAAAAAAATAGAAAAGACACAGAGATGGCCAAGTTGAACCCAATGCCTGTTCTGCTGTTGATGGGATCCAGAATTCTCCCTCATGACAGCGTTTTATTTTAGCCCATCCTAGGAGCCTGTCCAGGAAAGAAAGCCATGATCGATGAGGCAAGTTTTCACTTTTTGAAATTTCTCTAATTTGGTGGAGAAGTATGTCCAGGTCAGAGTGTTCTGATGTGTGGCTTGTGGGCTGATGGTCTTATACATTGTTCTTGGATCACTTCCATGACTTTTGAAGCCTGTCTCAGAGAGTAGATTTAATTGGTATAGTCATAAGCTGTGTCAACTCTCAGTGTTATGAAGATACCCAGTCAGATTCACCATGTGAAACATTTAAGGAATATTTTGACTTGAACCAAGTCAGGTAAACAATCATTTTTAAAATCTGCCCAATGTCTTGAAACAACTAAAAGTTTCCAGCAGATTGTTTGGACTTCAAGTCCAGACTTGACCTGGCAGAAGCCGGCATCCTGCTGGGTGATGGCATGTGGGTGCTCTATGCTCCGCTCTGCTTGGTCCTTTCACTGCTTGGCCCCACAGGCAAACTGAAATTTACCTCTCAGTTTGGAAGTGATTTACTTTAGACATTAGTCTTTGGGACAGTCCTCCAGTGTATTCATTTTCAAGTGATGGAATTTAAAAACACTGTGTTTCACGAAGAACACATTTATGTGTAGGAAATAGCAATAGAATAGCGGATAGTAGCTCTGTGAGGCCACTGCAGCCCCATATTTTACTCCCACTGCCCACCATGAGCTTTTCCTTTCCTATGTAAATTAACCCCATTTTTGCTCTATTGGTTTAATTTCTAGCTGTTTATCCAGTGACTACCGTGTGCATATATTTGTAGATACCATGGAGCCATATATAATGCTAAAAAATTATTCACAAAAAATTAAGGAGCTAGGAGTTGAGGGTAGACAGTCACACAACATTAACAAATTGCATTGGAGGTAAATGACTGTATCAAGACCAAAGGCTTGTCTGTGGTGTAGTTCTAACTGCATGACTCTAGTTGAATATGGAGTATTTATCAGTCTACCCAGAGAGTGTCAAATCATATAAAAATGGTGATAATCAGCCACTTCAGCTTTTTTCTTTTTCATCTCCCTAAATCTACATGTCCTGATGTTTTGTTTGATTACTTATTCCAGTAAGAGCATTTTAAGAATTTTAGATGAAAATTCACTTGGTTGTTGTAATTATGATCAGATGGTTTCTTCTTTGGTTCTTATCTTCCATATGTTTTGCATTCAAATGTATTTTGCTCAGTATTTCTTTAAACATTTAAATTTGGGAGATTAACAAACATCAGATGAATTTGTTTCAGACTGAATGATGGATTGCTAATTTTAGAAATTACATAGCAAATGGGATATGGCTGAATCATTCTCTTTGTCATTTTGCATCATATATAAATTTATTTTCTTGACAATTTATTGTATAGAGTCATTCTAACATTATAAATAAGGACCTGTAAAATAGTTGCATTTTAAGACTTCTTCAGGAAACCCAGCTTTTAGAGCGAGCCCAAGTATCCTATGTTTCACTCTTATCACTTGGGTCACATTAATCCAAGACTGATGTCACTGCTTTCCTTGGAAACAAATTGGCTTCCTAACTCTTTGCTTCATTATAAAAATTGTTCTCTATGATTTTTGTCATTTTGTGCTACCTCCTTTAACACAGAGCAATTTTGCAGATTGTTCTTAGGGAATAAGAGAAAAAACTATCCTTGAAACTTAAATCAAAACACGTCGCCTTATGATACCACTTTGGTTTTTCTGAGAACTGTAAGAGTTCGTTTCTGCTCACGTGGAGTGGAATGGAATGTCCTTTACTTCTCTTTGATCTCTTGCTAGTTGGTTTTCAGATAGCCCACATGATTTATAAATTAGCATACTGTCCATTTGATAAAACTCCATAGTATGTTTTAGAGATACCCCAAAAGGTTAGCAATGTATCGTGGTAAGATAGAATGTTAAAAATTACTGCTATAGAATAGGGACATTCATAGGTTATGTATAGGGAAATATATAGGGAAACACAGAATCTCACTAGAAATCAGAGAATAGAGATACATGTTTCAGTTAGCTTCTTTTTCTCAATAAATTAATGATTTTTTTCATCATTCTACTTAGTGTTGACAAGGGTAGATTGAAAAAGGCACTCTCATCTACTGCTGGCCAAGTCTAAATGGGCATAACCTTTTATCAGCATTTATCAAGAACCTTTAGCATGTCCAGGGCTTTTTACCCAGCAATTTCAATTTTGAAAGCCTTTACCTAAAGAGACAACAAAAAATTTTAGTGCTATACAAAAATAACTTGCACTGAATTCTTTGTAGTGTAAGAAATGGAATCAAAATGCCCAACAAGAGAACAATGGAAGTAAATTAGGGTACCTTTGATGACAGAATCTGACAAGACCTCTCCAATAATACGTATATTGTTTCAGCATGGCTAGATTCTTCTATTAAAATGTTAGATTTAAAACTGAAGTGTAAAATGTACCTATCCTATAATCACTATATATATATTTTTTTTTTAATGACACAGTAAAAACTAAAGTGACTGAAACAAAAACTAAAAGGAAATACACAATTATTAACAGTAATTGTTCTTTGGGATGTAAGCTTAATGAATAATTTTTCTCTTACCAGTATTTTTCATTTTGTTTCCAAGTTTCCCACATTTTATATATGTGCTTTCATAGCCAGTTATAAGTAAAGTAAACATAACGAAATCTAGGACTTACCCCTTTTTCCCCTCCACATTCTAAAGCCCTGTGCACAGTCACCCCAATGTTGCTTTCCTCCAGAAGCCCTCCTGCTTTTTGCCACAGGGCTAAAACCCCCAAACTTCCCCGGGAAAATGAAACCATTAAAGGTGACATATTTTGACATCCCAACTAATGGGCAATTTAGGTTACAGATAGCAGCCTGTCTAGGACCCATCTCCATAGTGACTGTGACCACCTTCCTCCACCAAGTCCATGTCAGGGTGACCGGAATCTTAAGGGAGATGAAAATTCTTTAAAATTTAAAATGCTCCCCCATGAAAGCCAACTACCTACTTTCTGTTCACTAATTCTTTACTATCAAAAGATTAAATTGCAAATAAACACATCCAGAGTGCCTGCTGTGAGCGTGGGATTTACTTTGCCTTTTTCACATCAGTTATTTCTGCTAATCCTTATAAGAATTCTATGACGGGCAGAAGACTAGCCCAATTTGTGAGCCAAGGAAGTCAGACATTCATAAATACTATGTGGCTAACCAAGGTCACCTTGTTAGTTTCAAGTTCAGAAGGTCCCTTACAAGCTCTCGGGAATACAGCCTGGGCCTCTGGGCCTTGAGCTGCTCAGTGGGTCTCAGTAATCAGCCACCTGGACCCTATTTTTGTATCTGTAGAGCGGTAGACAGCCTGTGCTCCCTCGTGGTGTCAAAAAACTGGTGTAGGTTTC